ACTACGAGAAAAATCCATACAAGTGAAAGCGTGCATTTTATCACTAATTATATACATGTGAAAGTTGCATGAATGAAAGCGGAGATCGTAAACATTCGCGAACAAGTGATAAAATTTTTGTCTAATTAGATTGTTTCCGAGCGAAAAATATAAATCGAGCATCCATATTTGTAGTTCCTATTAAAGAAACCATCAATGATACATTATTCTCATTTTACAATTAGCTTACTTTATTTGTAGTGCAAATGGAAGGCGGTAATAAATGCAGCTATTAACATCCTTGATGAGCGAATCAATCTCTCCACTAATGAAAATGCCTTAGTCTCATTGTATATTAAACAAAAAGAGAAATGAAACTTCACGATGTTCACAAAACATTGGAATTAATCAACGTTATTAATCAACGTTCTGTCATTTTTAGTTTCTTTTTTTCTTCTTGAAACCACCATGAAATCGCTCGACACTGTCTGACTGATAAAAAAGATTATTGCGAATATGACGAATTGAACAAGGGAAATTGACAAAGAATCAATGGATCAACAAGATCAACGAAGATCCTGTAAACTTGTTACAATCATCGTACAAGCTGTCAACTGTTAATTTATGTGTATTATGCATTATGCGATACATAATATTACGCGATAGGAAGAAATCAATCGCGAACGTGTCCAAGAATCCAGCGTAGAATTAACATAACTCGCGCGATGAAGAAGAAATCGAGAAGAAGAATTTCGCAAACCAATATAATTCACACACACACACACACACACACACACACATATATATCGAATACGCGAATCCCGCGGAGCGTTTTGGATGTCGCGTGCTACATAAATTGGATGAGCGCGCCGGGACACGCGGGAACGAGCTGCAGATACCGATCTGCTCGTTGGCGTGTTATAAATCAACGAGCCGATCGGCCGGAGATACGGATCTCGATCGCGTTGTAAGCTCGCGACTGCTGAGCTTGCCTGGCCTGGATCATGGTGCACCGCGTGAACGCGTGATTTTCCTCGTCCATCGAGGCCGTCAGTGCAATGAGGATCACGTCGAAGGGACTTGGGACTGTCTTCTTGACAGCAAGAATATTACGACGCATCCTCGTACGTACAGTCGCCTGCACGCGATACACATTTCATCGAACAGTTCATCGCCGATCTGTTTCTTCACGTCGCGTTCGCGTGTCATTTTCGCGCGAGGAGGTAAAACGAACGAGGTAGAGGATGATTTAATTTATCCAGTCGGTGTGGTTCATCACGATGAAAGAAATTTTCCGTCTTTCTTTCTAGATAAATGTATTGCTTGGTAAATCTGTTACAGTGTCGTACACGTTGATGTACTGTAATCGTGTATCGGGAATAATTTTTCGAAATGCATATAGTAAAAATAGTTTGCAAAGACGGGGTGGAGCTCGATATTTGATACGCAAGGTGTGAAGCAATTCTTTTTGAAGAAAAACTTTCGACTGAGAATTCAAGGACTTTGTAAAGAGATTTTGAAGAATTGGAAAGCTCAGTTCGAAGCAATTTTTCTTTGGCTTTGATCGAGCGACTTTCGAAGGGATTTTGCAAAGAATTCCAGGGCCGAAGTGGAATATAACAGGAACAAAAAAAATAGACGCATGTAAAGTTTAGAAATTCTAATTTTTAAATATCGAAAGTGATAAAGGAATTGACAGATCCTAGGGAAATCAATTTAAGAGCTACAGATAAAATACTATGTAACACTCAAACTGCGACCTTAAATTTTACATTTACAATTTAAATCGTATCGAAAATCCAGAGTAAATCGACGCGAGTGCATAACGGAGAGTATTTTGTTCTAACATTCTCGCGTTATGTTCTCACTAAGCATAAAATATACCCATCTATCATCGCGGCAACATTTTTCTGCATTATTATTAAACATGAATTATTCATACGTTCTCGATAGATGTTTTCACGTTCGCGTATATGTATGTATCACAGATTTTTATGCGCTTCGTTGACAACGCTTGTATCCTCCCCTGTCATGCTATTTCGCCACGAGAAGTTTCCTCGCCTGGAATTATGCCTAGGAAGATGCATGCGTGATAATAAAAGGATAATAAAATGTTAGTTTATCCATAAATGAAATATACATCTGAAGGTAGTCGTGTAAATAGATTGCAGTACGATTGATATTGTTGACTATTGGACTTTTTCTTTTCAAATATAAATAAGAAAAAAAATATATATATATAAATTCAAATATAAACAAAGAAATAAAAGTTCAGGTACAAAGGTCTCTTTAAACTAAATATGTTTTTCGCATTTTTTGCGATTATTTTTAATACACCTAATCGGCACTTAAACTAAATATTTGATGAAATAATTAGCAAAAATGAAATTCAAAAGAGTGAAATTCGCCATCGTGTATAAACGAAGGTTAATCCGGAGAGTATAAAACGTTTTCGTTACTACTTTCAATGAGGAGAGGCTTAGGCCTCTGAAAATTCTAAAGAAATCTGTCCCTAAAGGGTTCTCAAAATAAACCCAAAGATTATATTAAATATTATTCTTAAGGTAAACCCTTAAACAATATAATCTCTGAGGGCTTATTTTAAAATAAACCGTCAGAAGAGACACGTTTTTGTTGTTTATGGCGGAGAAAGCAACAGTTTGCCGAATTACACAGCCTTAGTAGTTACCTTGAAAGTAAAGAACCATAACCTGGGTAAGGCTACTGAACGTAACAGCCGTTTTACCAGACATTATCCGAGAACAATTTTCATCGTGAAATTTAAGACCCTAAGAGGACTTGGCCTCGCGAAATAATCGCCACGTGGATCATCGCGATCGATCAACATCGGCAAAAATAACACGTCGCGTATATCTCTATACTCACTCGCGCGACGCGCGTGTTAAACGCGCGACTATGAATTATGATTCTGTGGAACATAACAAACATAACGGCTAACGTTATCGTGCAACCGCGTGTAGGAAGATCCGCCCGTAATTACAACCGGATCTTTTCAATCTCGCTGTGCCGACGCAATGATATATGAAAGTTCGAATCGAGAGGACGAGGAGATGAGAGGATCTCGCTGCAAGTTGCGAAATCCGCAATGGTGAAAATGTTTCTCGCTTCTTGGGGGAAATTCCTTTACGATCGACTTGTACCGTACTGTCGTAACAGGCCGCCATTTGAATACTGCGATAGGCAGTGACGAAGATTTTAATGGATTTTTAATCGCTTTATGATCAATATGATTTATAAGATTGTAAATGGCAAAAGGGAGAAGAGTTTAGAAATTCCTTTGGCGTGCGGATAAATTTATAAATGAACGATTTGCAACGAAATCGTTGAAATTGTTGCTGGAGAAAAACGAGTGAAGGGAAATTCTTTAAGCTCGTCAAATACTAAGAGAATGAGAATAAATAAAAGGTTCTCTGGGATTCTCTGTTCCGCTGTAATTTAAGAATGTGTTTTTAAAAATGTCTGAAAACTCGGAGGGAACTTTTGACCGAGGTATGAAACGCGCGACATTCAAAGTACGCGATATTATCGGTACACAGCACCGTGAAGATTGCTTTGTCAAACTCTCGTGTTTTGCAAAGTCGCCAGCGGGCACGATCGGATGGCTCTTCGAGTTTTATCGCGCGCGATAATTAGGCGTCGGTGTAAAGGCTGATCCTGACGTTCGAATTAAAGCTGGCCGTGGTTGATGGCTGCCAGGCGAAAACGCGAAATCAACTTGGACGCGGGACGGTATCGCGTAGGTGTTTGGAGCCGAGGAGCGACCGAGCTGAGATAAGATGGAAAGGGAAGAGAAAAAGAAAAAGAGAGAAAAATAGAAGGAAAAGAAGGCAAGATCGAGAGAGAGAGAGAGAGAGAGAGAGAGAGAGAGAGAGAAGAAAGGAACGCGGCGGTAACTCATTCGGTATGGCAAACGAGCTGAAAGAGCTCCGCGGGTAATTAATTGTGCTCGCGCTTTACGCGGCTTTACGTGTGTCGGACTTAGTTGTAAATTAGCATGACGGAAACGCCAGGGGACAGTGTGGGCTTGCGCTTAAGTTGATGTATCATAGTTGTCGACGAAATGAAGTAGATCGGATCGTGTGGCGTGGATCAAAACGTGCGCCACCAAAAAAAAAGAAATTCTCCTTTGTTTGTCATGGAATCATGGCATCATCTAAAGAGGTTGAGGAAACGTGGAATTTATTTGAAGTAATTTTCAAGTGAAATAAAAGTAATTTATTTGAAATTATTTCCCGCGAATACGATATGAGATATGAGAGATCAGAGATTTGTAGATATTTACTGCCGCAGATATTTACGCGTGTATAGAAGTATATAGTAGATGAAACAAATCTTCTAAATCCTGATTTCTTAATTGGTTTTGTACAAGCATGGATTTGCGCGAAGATTTTCGGCCAAGTTGTTAAGAACCGTAAAAGAGTTGTAATGATAATAATAAAATTGTAACAATAATACTGATGAATTGATGAATTCATTCTAGAACATATTTTTATCTCCATAAAATTCATTTTCTAACATCTGTGTGATGATATAATGATATATAATATAAAGTTGACGTGTATCCGGAAATTGTTTCGAATATTTTCAAAGCCTAGAATAAAACAATGGAATATTTACTATAACATTATGAATAGATATACTACGATGCATCGATAAATCTAAACTGAAAGAAATCTCCACTCTAAGTGGATGAGAAATATTTCATTATTCGAGACATTGCGAAGTACAGTTAGATCCCCAGCAATAACTAAACCCAAAACAATAAATGAGTAACAAGTCCAGGTATGCGGGACGAACAATCAACGCTCCTTAGGGAGAAAAATCCCTGTCCTCGTTTGTATTGTCCCGAGGATGACACTTAAACTCTCGCAAACCTTGCTGCGCACTCTCGTCGAGTCTTTACATACCTGAAAATCCCTCTATACACCTGTCGAGCAAACTGGACAGACCTGATTCGACGCTAGATCTAACAGGAAATTTCTCACTGATCTATTTCAGGAAGCAGGGAAGCAGCTTTCACGTACGCAATAAGTTCGGCGGGTGTAACGTACGCCGTGACCGCAGCTTGCAGCAGGGGCAACATCACCGCCTGCGGTTGCGAACCCACCGTAAGGTAAACTTCGTGTCTTTTGTTACCTTTGCCCGCGATTTCCACCGGTTAATCGCCGCTCGTGAAAGTGAACTCTATGCTTTAAAGCAAACACATTCGACGATTGTTCTAGTTTTCGTATTGTTCTCTGTGGAATGGATCTTGTCGATACTCGATCGCAAAATTAAGTCGATTAAAAACAGAATTTTTGATTCAATGATAAAAAGAAAATCCTATCTACTTTAATTATTGAATAGAAATTCTACGGAATTCTTTTAAGTAATTTCCATCAAATTTCACCAACGTGTTCAATCTTTAGCTATTAAAAGGAATTTTTGAAAAAAAAAAACAAAAAATAGAACTTAACAAATCATCAAACATTGTACGTGAATACTTTCGTCGCTGTGAATGTTACACTTTGTAACAGTGAGAAATGATCGCCCCGGTGAAAATCGCATGCAACAGAGAATGACGTAGAAATATTTCGACGTGTACTTATCTTATTTCCAACTTAACGAGTCGCTTCTTCATCAAAATTTGGCTGTTCTTTTTTTTTTCTTTTCGCAGGACGAGGAAGGAGTTGCCGGCAAACGGTTGGGAATGGGGCGGTTGCAGCGCGGACGTCACCTACGGGATGAGGTAAAGATTATTAATTCGATTCGTAATGAATTCATCGCCTGTTCCCCTTTGCACGTGTCACGTGCGTGTAAAACCTCCATGACGACGCTGTACGTCACGACAGTTGTTATACACGCATGGATTTTAATATTGTAATTTAATGTTAGGTTCGCGCGTAGGTTTCTGGACGCGAGGGAAGTCGAGGGTGACGCGAGGAGCCTGATGAACCTTCATAACAACAAAGCAGGACGAAAGGTAAGTAATGCCAGTCACCGTTAATGAAATCATTCTTTTCAACGTATAAAAATTGCAAGAGCGGTAGAACCAAGTTTATGATCTTTAAAGCGACCCAGACTTTTAACGTGGCTTGCTGATGTATACAATGTATAATTGTAATAAAATAATCGTAAAATATAATTATATATATTTCTGCAATATAATTGTAAAATAATATAACATTCAAGTGTAGATTTAGTCATTGATCTGATCGTTGTGCAGAAAAAAAATAGTGTAGAAACGCGTAGGACTGACTAGTAGCGTAGTTTAATCAAATTTAATCTTAAGTATTTATTAAATTAAATGGCCTTCATTATTTAATCTCCAAGTCCTATAAACTGAGAAACTTCTGACATGTCGATATGTATTTGCTATATATACCTTCTGGTGAAACATCTTTCAAACAGTTTTAATCAAAAATATATTTCTCTTCTCTGTTCGAAAAATGAACATTTTCACGTAAACTTCGAAGCATTTTGATTATCCTTTGCAAATTTTGCTTTAAGCCAGAGAAACTATTTTCTTCGTGAATTGGCCAAACTTGATTCCCTCTATTTCAGAAATTTTCTGTAAAACGTTTCACTCTTTTGTGCAATCCATAATCCAACTGGTTCTCTAAGTAATAACAGGTATAAGAGAATAAGGGAACAGACAAATGACGGCTAAGAACTGCTAAGTGCAGCCTTCATTCCTGGAATTTATACGCGGTGTCTTTTATAATAACGCAACTGCTCTGTATCACGAAATTCTTCCGTAGGAAATTACGGTTGCCGTTGCGAAAATGAGGGACATTATTGATTTTATCGATAATAGAACCTGCAACGCGTTCTTTTCCTTCGATTGTATCTCACCCTTCTCTTTCCACCGGTATGAAACTTTAATTTTTGCACTTATTTGTGCAATATCAAATCTTTATTCTTTCTGCTGAATACTAAATATATCTAGCGATCTTCTATGTGAAGGATCTTCAGTCCCGATATTGCCTTCAGAATTTGTTATTCAACTAAACAACAAATCTGCAATGTTTCCAATCCGAATCTGACAAATCTGTTATTTCAGTATTCTGTATTTTTCTTCATAATTCCTACTTTTTTTCAAAATGAACTATTCGAAAAAGATTACCACTCACGAAAATATGAATTTCCAGAATAAATGACAAATTTACGAACTTTGAGGAGAAGTGGAAGTAAAAAATTAGTAGGAAAGAATGTGTTGTGGTTGCGCGCAGGGAGGCAGGGCACGTAAATGGTAGGCGTTTTAATTGGGGGGAAAGTTTCTTCCCTTTCCAAGGAAGGTCTTTTCGTTTTCTCCGATGAGCTTTATTATCACGGCGGCAATAAAAACGCGCATATTTCGTGTTGGCGTGCACGTACGATCCTGTGCACGCGCGTACAGACGCACGCCAGCTAACGATTTATTCTTAACGTCGATCGCCTCGCCGCACCGCATACTTTATGCTCCAGACGATTTTTTTCAACCCACCTCTGCACCCGCCCCTCATCGTCTCCCGATAATTCGAAATGTAAACCAGTTTTCTGAGCATGCTCATCGACCGCCGGACGTACACAATGAACCAGGGAGACGAAGAAACCCATGCATCAATATCGTGCAAGCGAATTCTAATCTCTTCCGTCAGAAACGACGATAGTTTGATAGTGATTCAGAGAGAAACAATGGTTGGAAAAATTTTCCACCTCCCATTTTAATCCTCCGATCATGGTTGATCAAGCAGCTGTTGCATAAGTTTATTACTACATTCGTAACAGCGAAGCAAATATTAGAAAATAACTAATAAATATATCGATGGAGGCATAAAAATAGTCACGGAGTCAGCGGGCTCAAATGACCCCTTTTCGAAATTTACTTTAAAATCGTACATTCGTTGTTATTTCTTTCGCTAATCTGACTTTTTGTAAATTCTTATATTACCTGATTGTTCGATTGCTCGTTTTCTGTTTTTCTCTTAGCTTATTTTTTAGCGAGAAAAATTCTTTGCATACCTTATGTTCCGCCGAGAGTCATTTGATCCCTTATAGTAACATAGGTATATGTAAAATAAAATGCCGGTACGTTTAGCGTTAATCGCTAACTTTATCGATGTTTTCTTTGTAATAATACAAATTTCAAAATTCTTGCCAAGAAAAGAAAAGGACGTATGATAGAATAATTAAACCTACAACTACCAGCAGACTGTATTTTTAAAAAAATTAATTTCTTTCTAAATTAATGGGATTTGATTTAAATAATTATTGAAATCATTCGAGTGAGACATGAATTTAAACGGATTTACGAATACACGCTGATGTTGATCGCAGTCGTCGAATTAACTCGACTCAGGTCGCCATAAATGGCATAGATTACTTGCTGGATTATACGAATATTGTTTCGTTGCAGATAGTTAAAGCTCTGCTGCAAACGGAATGCAAATGTCACGGCGTGTCCGGTTCGTGCACCGTGAGAACCTGTTGGCGGACCTTACCCAGTTTTCGTCAGATCGGCGATGCACTGATGAAAAAGTATTACAGAGCCAGGCCGGTGATAGCGATTACCCCACCGCCACCCCCGACGATGCAGGTAATTTCACGGAAAAGTGGGTCAACGCAAAGCAACGTGTGATCATCCTGTGCGAGATTGCAACGCTAAATGATCACGTCGCTACGTGTGATACGCCCATTTTTTACATTATGTTCCACGGATACGTGGAAATAACACAGAGTGTCTGGCAGAAATGAAAATTCTCTGCGAAGCAATTTGTTAAGCATAGGCTGAGATACTATGTCTTTATTGTCCGTATGTAATTATTAACAGTGATAGAGATAATTTCGTACTCACGATTTCGTTGATTTCTGACTTTTAAATCTGCGTCTTATCGACGCATTGGGTATCTCGATGGTGCGAATTTTTTTATATAATTTCCTTCTCTACGGGTTTCGGCAAATTTTATCTTGAAACAAAGATGAAATATAACGGTTTGAAACAACGAATCATTACCATATTATTTTTATTTAAAAAATAAATTAGATAAAGTAGTAACTTCATCTTGGATCTAAATCAGATAGATCATTTGCAAATAATCTTTAATAAGGATAAAATAACTCTACAGAAGATAAAGTTTATACAATTAGAAACTATTTGAAAAATTACTTAAAAAAAACAGATATATAAAATGAAATAAGAACCTATTTATTTGAAATAAATTAAAAATTCGAATAATCTAGAAATTATTAGTTTTAAATTATGATTTAAAAATGATTTGCTCGTTCAAATAAATTAACGTAGTTATTTCAGAATAACATCGAGTCGAGTAAGATGATGTGTCATTAAATAATAATTAAAAGTAACTAAATAACAATTTTTCAAATCGCCAAAGATTTTGTCACATTATTATATACGTCGTATTGAATTTTTCCGATTAGTTTCCTAAAATTTATATAGAGGCAAAGATGTGATAAAACGAACAACGAAATGTAATAAAAATTATAAACCAGAAACTACCAGACAGTGATCTAACTGTACAAGTTGAGGACTGCACGAAGCAAAAATTCCGGTTTCACTGATCATTCACAAGTGGTAATTTAAATTTTTTCGTAGAGTTTAGATGCGTTGCATTCAACGTCGGCCGAAATGGTGCCGATTTTGGGGAACGATGCGAAAACCCAGGGGAAACCGAACGACGTTGGAAAATCGCGGCACGATCGGCAACCAACCCCAAAGAAAGCCACGAAACCAAGGAGGCCGCACTTGGTATTGAAGAGGACAAAATCGAACGGTGGACTGAGCATGGGACAAAAGAGGATTCCAAAGAGAAGCGAGTTGGTCTTTCTACAGCCATCCCCTAATTACTGTGAGCCAGATTTAGCCCAAGGTAGCCTAGGAACTCAAGGCAGATATTGTAATCGTACTAGTAAAGGTAAATTATATATCATAAATTATCATACATTGTTCCGACGTTAATGGATGGATTATTTCGGCCGGTTTATCTTTCAGAAAGACTTATTCCTTCCATCCGGTCATAAAATAAAAGTAGTCATTAAACTGCGAATTTCTAAAAACTCGTAGTATGGAATATTCAAAGTATGAATGTTCAATAGATGAAGCAATTTTCTATCCAGCTTCTAATTTTTTAATCGTTCTCGAGAAAGTAGAAAGTGATGTAAAAATCTAGTATGGATATTCTCGCTCCTTGTATCATACTGAAATTGATTAAAATTTTTCAGGTACGGACGGATGCGACCTAATGTGCTGCGGTCGCGGTTACAACACGCACCAGTTCACGAGAACGTGGCAGTGCAGATGCAAATTTCACTGGTGTTGCCGTGTGCATTGTGAAACGTGCACAGAACGTACCGAGGAGTACACGTGCAAATAAACGTTCGAACGTATTTGCAATCTTGGAGATGTAAATATACATAGCAGACGTTATAACAACTAATGAAGAGAGTTTCTGCACTGACAGATCTGCGAGCTTTATTGCGCTCTGTCAGAAATGATCCAAAATATCGGCCTCGAGATCTCTCTAGAGTATAATAAAGATGTAATTGACAGAGCGTTCCTTTTTATGCTTAACTTAATCGATTTATATACCTACAACGATGATAGATACGCCATCGAATGAAATCCTGTTTCCGAAATTAATGAAATCCAGTATCAGCCATCACCTGTTATTATAACAGGTGATGGCTGATACTGTGTAATTATAGAGACGATGTTAGACGATATAAAAAACGGTATATATCGAGTATTTAATCTGTATATTTATGATATTATATATGTATATTATGATATTATTGAATGCGAAGAATGTACGGCAAAATTTTCGCAAGTTTTGTAAAGCTCTTGTTATTTAACATGATAGTCGATAATATGTAATTGTAGAGACGACGTTTAGACGACGTTAGACGACGTAAGGGACATGTCGATATTTAGTCTGTACATTCATGATACGAAGCGATAGATGGACGAAATGCAAATTGTCGAATATTTCACAAGAGGTAGCTTTCAGATATTGGAAGAACTTGAGTTACCATTTTGAAATATTAAGAAATTATTGATTGAATGAATTCAATAAGCCAATTATTGAACAACCTTTGAATCAAACATATTAAAAGAAGATAGTATAAGAGATAAAAATAGAGAATAAATATTCGTCATTCTATCTAAATTGGTCAAACACAATCTGCACAATAGTTTTCCTTTTACTAAAAAGTGGTAGAATGTTAAATATTTGCTGGAATAATCATTTATTTACAATAATTTACAATTATAAGATTATTATTACTATTATATATATAAAAAAATAAAAATATTTTTAAAAAAGGATTTCGAATTTTTTTACGATTTATTTACGCGTCTAATATTTATGGTATTTTCTGAAACATTTGTCCACACACAATCCTGGTTTATGTGGACAATCAGGACAAAAAAATCTCGATTGTTTTTTTATTTGTTCCCGATTACAAACGACGCAACGTTTTCTTTCTTTCAATCGTTCATTCATTCTTGGCACATGTACTCGATTAGTTTGGAGATCAAACGTCAGGAATGATGACTTAGATGAAAATGATGGTATAATCTTTAACCACGCTTCAATCATCTTCTCTCTGAATTCTTCAGGGTTCAGTACGTCTGGATAACAATGATCAAACAAGATATAGCTATTGTGCATAATTATATGAAATACATGGATTGCAAGTTTGGTTGACCATCCTGGTAACCTTTGGTCACACGGATAAGACATTAAAAATTTATCAGTTCTTTCACTATTCATTACTGCAGTATAATCGATAAAAATTTGTGGTTTTTCTATATTTTTCCTTCTTTCTGTTACTGTCCTCATAAACGCCGCGTGTTCGGAAGAAATCATCATCCAAACAATTCCTTTGTAGCGGTATTTCATCACACAAATGCCTTCAGGGGAGAACTGTTGGACAACTTCATCTTTTTTCAATTTAACATTTAAGATGCCGAAGGTATTATCAATCTTAAATTTTCCGAGCATTCCTAATGTGTGTGTCTTTTTTTCTAATAAACTTTTCGCAAGGGGGTAATTGACGAAGGTCTCATCCAAAAAAATAACATGCCCTTTCCCTTGAAAATCGGAAAGAAGTTCATGGACAATCTGATCAGAAGAGATTTCGTTACTTTCTTTTTTTAATCGTGTATGCGTGTGTATTTTCAATATCAATCCACTTGTCTCACTTAACGTATATACTTTCACTCCAAATTTACACTTATCGGTATCATCTTCACGAATATGAAGTCCCCGCGGCGATATAACAAACTTGTCAATAGTCAGCTTCTTTCCTGGATAATAAATTTCTTTCATGTTATTATTAAAAATGTCAAGAGGTTTCAGTTCGTCGGAAGGATCATCTGTATCGGATGTATCGTCTTGTTCGAAATTACGATCGATGTGGAACAAGCGTAGAATATCCTGAAATCTATCCCTATGCAAGAGACTGGAAAAGGTAGGGAAATGATAAATTCGAGACGCCTTCCAATACCAAAATATATCAGGGGCCTTTACTTGACCCATTAGAAAAATAAGGGCTAGAAATTTGTCAAACTCTTCCGCCGTAAGTGGTTTCCAATTCATAATCCGAGGTTTTTTCCTTCTTGGACTTTTCTTTGAACTTTGAGTAGCTTTTAACTTCAAGCTTTCCGCGTACGTGTTAATTTTCTCTATAACGCGATTCATGAAAATTTCATTTGCAATCAGCCGGAAGAAATCAATAGGTCTTTCTGGACAGTCTACGTGTAACCCCGGATTGCCACTGAATGGAATTTTAGTCTGACCAGGATTTGTATAAGCAAAGTCAAAATGTATTTTTGGAATAAATACTGGTACATCTCGTTTTTCTTCTTCATCATCATCCGACTTTTTCTTGGGCATTAAATGAAGGAATTGAAATGGCTCAGTAACTTCTTCTTCTGCGCTCTCAGAATCAGTTTCAAATTCATTCAGATCAAAAATTAAAGGATCAGGAATAAACTCTTCGAAACTACTTGAAAATGGCTCATCTTCGACAAATTTTGAAGTCCCAGGTTGCGAACTTTCAATAAATCCCGATTCCAGCGAGTGTGGGAAGAAATATTTAAATTCGTCGCCTTCAATACCTAACGGCACGTACGTTTGTACATCTTCCAGCAATATTCCTTGAGGAAAGTCAGTAGCTCGTGCTTTCCCTTTTTTGGAATGTTTCGAAGCTGCGGAAGGTGAAAAAATAATATATTACTGTTACGAATTCTATGCTTGGGAGTCCAAATATATGTTTACGAAATCTTTCCAAATAAAAACTTCTTAAAAAATTTGTCAACTCTCTCGGGAAACACTCAAAATTTGTTGATCTTCGATCTTGTCATTTCTTCCGGTCGGAAAAGATTAAATTTTCTTAAGAAAGCAATTTAATTTTAAAATATTTGAAACAGAAAAATTACCTTGAAGGCCACTGGGTTCAGGCATGTCTTCTATGTTCAATTTTTGCTTTTGCTCTACGAAAAAAAAAAAAAAAATAATGTGAAAAAGGAATTTTCTTGAAAAAGCAATTTAATTTTAAAATATTTGAAACAGAAAAATTACCTTGAAGGCCACTGGGTCCAGGCATGTCTACTATGTGAAATTTTTGCTTTTGCCCTACGAAAAAAAAAAAGAATAATGTGAAAAAGGAATTTTCTTGAGAAAGCAATTTAATTTTAAAATATTTGAAACAGAAAAATTACTTTGAAGGCCACTAGGTCCAGGCATGTCTTCTATGTTCAATTTTTGCTTTTGCTCTACGAAAAAAAAAAA